ATGAACTGGGGGCGTGCACAGTTAAATTGTCTATGCACTCACACTATTCTGTGCTGGGGCTATTCCAGACAGTTGGCCGGTAGACCAAGATCCGACAATAAATGTACACGTATGTAATATCTAATGAAAATGTCTAGTGTCTATAAAGATATGAAATCTTTAAACCAGAACTAAAACAGATGTATTCATGTTTAAACACTGTCTTTGACACCCATACAGAAAAATGTTAATGGCCAGTGGAAGATCTATGCGATAAAGCAGAAATGAAGTTAAAGTAAGCATTGTCCTCGGATAAAATAGAGAGGGCAATGGAAGAAGAGGGGACCAAAGCCCTCAACAGAATAACCTAACAAAGGTAGAACCATATTTTAGGTGGGAAACATATAGATCTACGTAAGTTCCTAATTGAAGTACCGGGGTAGGATAATGATTACTATTCGGTCACCATTATATTTTAAAATGTTCTATAAACCTTTGACGATTTTGTTGGAAACAGTCAAATTCGAATGTTTAATTCCGATATAAAACTCAGGAGAAATGTATTATTATTATTTGGAATTCTTTCAAATGGGATTTAGCAGGTGGTCTATGTAGTCATAATATCAAGCAGTATCATTAAGTATATAGACTTAACAAATAAAACATATATCGTAAAAACAAACAAAATATGGCACTCCTCATCGTCGCGCGTTCTTCGGGAATCCGACAAACCGAACGTTCACATCGAAGTCTCACTCAACACATTTGTTGATTTCGCATTAGGTTGATGCAATGGTTTTCATACTTTTGAAAATAATGCTGATTTTTTTTACCAAAACCCAGGAAATAACTGTCACACAGAGGTCAACTGAGCATCGTGTGGTAATTCATTCCGATTGTAACTAAATCACTATGTTGGCCACAAATACCACACCCGTTCTAAGGCACGGCTGATCAGTTTGAAATACCAAGGTACCATACGGAGGTGTTCCTGTAATTCGTAGTCATGGTAACCATCCGGTGCATCTTAAAATTGTAAATTAAAATTTATCCTGAAAATGAAAAAAATATTGCAAAGATATTTTAAAATCGTTTTCACAATAATAATGCTTTTTGTTTCTTAGACTTTGTTCTTATATAAAACTGTCTAAGTAGACATGTTCACGTTTTGTCTTACTACTTCTGTTTTTAATTCACGCATTTGCAAAACTGCTTCATTGCATATTCATACAGTGCCAGTAGGTTTGCGCGACAATTTTTCGTTATGAATAAGTAAATGCAAAATAAGCAAAAACATACCGCTTTTACAGTGCAAGGATTTTATTATACTTACCTAGGTACAATGCCTTTTATCCAGTTATTGGAAAATCAACGTCTTTCTGACCTTGACCACTGACAGTAACCTATTTTATTGGCATCCATTTCCATGACATTTGACAACTTAGTTTGACCTTGGCATGTGAAAATTCATCCCACTCTATGAATCAAAAGATATGGCCTTGAACTTTATGTATATGTATTGTGAAATAGAACTTTATGGACAGAAGATATGTTGGATAACATCAACAACGACCTTCCTCAATGACAAAGATCCGCATAACAACCAGGACCTTTATGGCGATAATTATGGCATACGCATTAACAACGAAACTCGTGATAGATGACAACGACATTATCTAGGACAACTAACCTCATCAAGACAATGACTTCAAGATCAAAACGACCTTCATGACGCTAATCTATTGACAACGACCTTAATGATGACAATGGCCTTCTTGTTGGAAATTACCTTGACAATGACAGTGACATTAATGAAATTGACCTTAACCTTAATTAAGAATATAACTTTCATGTTGAAATAAACATTCTTGATGACGATGTTCATGATGGCAACACGTTTTATGATGACAAAGACAACAACAATGACAATGACCTCTATGATGCTAATGATCATCAAGACAAAACCATTCACCTGTATATCATAATTAAAATCACTTTCAGGGCTAAACAGCTGTATGATGCAGTGTAGTTCATTTTGGCATACTTTATCTATTACCAAATTTTAAAGATGCAGTCGTATTGTGTGTCTCACGTTGATATTTCATGATGACACACCATACTTCACAATTTTGTTAATTTCAAGATTGCCGTGTAACTATAATCAAAACAGTTTTCATTGTGATAACAACTTTCTTAATGTAACACCAACCTTCATTTAATTTATTTTTTTAATTTGCTTATTAATTTTTTCTCTTTTTATCTGCATTTACCCTTTCTGTGTCAGCAATGAATGTTTTGTCCTATGTAAAACTACTGTTACTACTATCAATCTTTCTGTAAGTATAACTAACTCTTCATTACCTGTAAAATGACCATAACACACAGGTTAACATTTCTTGTAATTATATGATCAATGAAGCATAAGTTGATAAACTGATTTTCAAAATAGTGAAGACTGCAGAAATGTTGATGGAAACTGCTTTCCCAGAACATCCACAGGGGCCAGAAAATACAGAAACAAAATACTTTTCTGGAACAACCACAGGAGCCAGAGTATATTGACAAAAACTATTTTCCGGTACAATCACAAAGGCCAGCAGATACAGAGAAAACTACTTTTCTGGTACAATCACAGAGGATATAAGTTACAGAATCTGCTACTAGTCCAGTGTACGAATGGTTATATCCAAAATATGCAGAATATTCCTGATAAACTACTCAAGTTATTAATAATATTAAAATGGGTAACTATAACGCATCTGACACCTCTGGGTTCAACAACACTTACCAGGCCAGGTGTAAAATATGATGATAAAGAAAACTAAATACAACTGTTACGGGTTTATACTTTAATTCAATTTTTTCCAAAATTGATAAAAATTTGGAGAAGAACCTTAGGTTCCTGTATATAAAAATATCTAATATGATATGGTGCTTAAAATATTCTGTATGTTTAATACTTCTGGATGGAATAAAATATTCTATATATACATACACATTGTTTATAATAATTATTAATAAAATGCATAATTTGATAAAATATATAGCACCCTATAATATAAGATATCCACACCTACATGGTTGACACTTAAACTTAAATATTTTGAATTAAAACACATAGCTTCATAAGTACCATATTTATCCGGCAATAAGCCCATGCCTGGTAATTAGCCCACTCACAGCTGTTGCAGATCGGTAGAAATACCAACAAGAGTTATTCCATTGGTCCTGTAAAGAGCCCCACCCCCTAATTTTGGACAGAGATAATGTGCTGGCACCCTGGGCTTATTGCAGGATAATTACGGTAATGGCACATTGACTTATATGGGCATACCTGTTAATCAGAGTATATCACACTCTCGCATCACTTCTTTATCTTACATTTAAATTGGTCTACTCATTATCGCTGACCCATGCATACCAGGTATACACCGATATTTTCAGTCAGTCTAATTTCCTAAATTTACTGTAAAGTGCTTAATTAAAGTGATTAAACAAAATAATAACTACTTAAGAAATAAACGTATTTCGGACATTTTTGCAGCAACATATACACTTATATATATTATGTTATCGATGATCAACATCACTTACTGAATATAATTGTAATTTTTGCAGGTCAAATTTCGGTGGTATTAAACTTGGATCAAATTCAAAATTAATTTATCAACATCACTTTCCACCTTTAATTCAGTACATATTGGTTCCACACTGGTACATTACTCAAAAGTATCAAAATTTTGTGTATTATGTTCTTACAGCAAAATATTGTGGCGAAAATAAAGCAATCACTGAGTATTCCAACTATACATTTAGTAATGCCACATAAAATATTCTGTTAGATTTTCAAAATTAAAACATCTACATTGTACTTCTAATAAGTGAATCTTACATGTAATTTTACCACCAAAAACAAATCATTAAATCATATAGTGAAACATTATCGAAAATAAAAACTGAAAGATGTTATATTTTAATTGAAGTAAGATCTTGTTATAACATGCCTTATTTCATTTGACATCTCACCAACTACCAACATATTTTAAGGAACCCTGTGCGATTCCTTTACACATTTCTCTTAACGTATCGCTAATTTGTTTTTACAATGCCAAAATTTTCCTGGACAAATGATAGCCATATACCGAGGTTTCATTTTACACACTATCAAATAGTGAAACATACATATAATGTATACTGGGAAGTTTTCGCCCAGCCAAACTTTCACCCTTTGCCTATGAAATCAATACCCGCCCAGTGTTAATTTCATCGTTCACATTTAAGTACTGTTTATTATTTTGTTTACTTATATTCCCTGCAATGATAAATTCATTATCATCAAGGAGGGCGGAAAAGGCAAAAATTAAACAGCTGCGAAAATTTCCCGGTATACAGTAAGTAATTGACAACCATTATACATTTCATTCCATGCAGCATGACAACATAACCCATTTTCATACAGTGCAGCATGGTATAGTTTGTCAGGTGTATAATGTTTTACAGCCGATTGACTAGCAGGTCAGGGATTAAATGGTGCATTGTATTTAATTTAATGGGTAACATTGGTCATTCATTTAGATTTGCATACGGCAAATGAAATAATCTAGTTTAAATTGAAAATATTGTTGGTGAAAATATAGTTCAGCCTTGTGGTGGATACATCTAATGGTGGAAAACATGGGAGGATTCAATGATATAAATAAATGCATCTTCATTTTTGCAGTAAAATATGAAATGGAAATATTGGTTGTTATAATTGCTTGATATTCTTTTCTTTGTGTTGATATTTGTATAAAACAGGCAAAAAATATTGAAAAGTTTTGTATACATTGTTGATGGATAGGAAAATAATGGTGAATAATTCTGGATTGATGCATGTAATTTGAGGTTGATTTGGATAGCTAAGGTAGAATTGAAGTTGCACGGAGTTGGAAGGAATCGGAAAGCAAATGGTGTAAAAGTTATTATCCCTTACATAGATGTTTTGGTCAAAGTTTTCGGTTGATGTCTCGGAAACACGCATTGCACACTCTGACGGGTTTCTTTGACAGGGCTAGGCGAACCTCCTTGGAGGAGCATTCGTTACAGAAAATGTTGCCGCACTGACGACAATGGTGCTGTAGAAAAATACAACAAAGAACAGGTTACAATAATTAATTATTCACATGTCACACTTCATCCGTTAGTCATGGTCCATCGCACACTTGTATCTCATACACTGCGAACTATTGAAAAATAAGCGATTCATGGTCTTTTTCCCCATTCGTAGTTCATACACAGCCAACTACAGAAAAACCTTATCACAAACATGGACATCTTGAAAAACCTGCTTTAATTATTCAAAATCTTCCTTAGTCCCGTGACAGTTCATTTCTTTAGTAATACCTTGTTATACTGCCCTCTAGTGTTTGTCCTGTTAAATATGGCATTATAAAGAGGTTTGACTATCAGTTGAATGGGATGTAATACAAAGGCATTGTTAAGAGAAAGGAAACAGAGCCCTTGACAGAAAGTGAGATGGCAAAGAAACAAGGGGCATTATATAGAAGTTTTAAGGCACTGATGTTTTTAAACTTTAATTGATAATCACAAATACTGAAAATTTTCCTGGTTTCCAGAATGATGTATAACTGTGTTTATCAGGTTTTGGTATGCTAAGTACAAGTATTTACTGAAGAAATCAACATTCTAACTGTAGCATGCATATCTGCCAAGTATCCTTGATGAGCACTGCAAAGTTTTCAAAAGAGCTCCTGTAGGGGAGGTAAACACTAACAGGACAGAAAAAGAGCAGCAACATTTAGTCTCCTGTGAAGTGGAAATTACGTAATTAATTATTAGAATAGCAAGTTTAGAATGAGTAACAGCCCAGCCCTCAGATCTCTTCATCCCTGAGACTGGGGCCTACACAACAGATTAGAATGAGTAACAGCCCAGCCCTCAGATCTCTGTAGTCTCCTCCCAGTATCAAAGCCTAAGATTAGAATATGTAACACATCGCTGCCTCACCCTTCCTCCCCAATACAGGAAAAATCTGGCGGTAAGTTGATAAAACATTGGTTACTTGCATTGACCCTCACATTCCTCAACATACACACTAGGAAAAGTCTGCCATTAGACAACCACTCAAATCATACACACTGGAATAGTGTTGATTTAGAAACATTAAATAAAAATGGATATTTGGTATAATAGTTGAATTATGCATAATTATATATCATATAACAATATCACAGCTGCCAATACCATTCCTTATAAAGTAAATTAATTACAACACATTTTTTTATATCAATAAAAACAAATACATATAATACAATATATGGGATAAGGCATGTGTGCATCTCAATAATCACCTCAGTTTATCGCTTAGTTGTTCAACACATTATAAACATTTTAGATAAACTTCAAAATGAGATATAATTATAGCGTTTTACAAATTTCTTAAATCATGAATAAAGAAAATGTGTTTCATGACTTCAGGTGACCACATTGATTTCTTTGTACTTTGAACAGTTTTAGTTTATCCTGGTTAGCTCAATGTTCTCTCAATGAAAATTATTTGATTAATTGAAAATTCATATCCATGATAAAACCTCCTGTCCATGGAATCTAAATGGTTTTCTGTAGACCAGAGACTTTATTAGAATATCCATCAATGCAAAATTCCTTTTTCTTTATTCTTTTGTTGTCATTGTGCTTAAATTTCTTTCTTTCTTGTTTAATCGCTACTTTGTTTCCACAAAATGCATGAAATCACCAAATGATTTCTTAGTGTTTGGAAAATATGATCATTTAAAACAGTTATGTGTATGTTACAGAAAACAATGCTCCGAATAAGTAAACCAAAGAAAATATGCACAGCCAGCGGTCGGTCAATAATGAGCCCTCGCCTTGACCACTTGTCCTATCCTCGCCTTGACCACTTGTCCTAGCCTAACGATATCTTTAATGCTTGACCTAAATCACAACAGATCAATTATATGGCAATTTTAATGGCAACTTGTGAAGGAGCAATGACACCACGGTAAATGACCTTCATTATCACAAGTATTCAGTCTTTGCCACAGGAAATTGGTCCCTTTTCATCAACCGTAGTCATGACTAATATATGTTGCTATGGCAACAGATTCATTGAAGAATGTGGTCATCGTTTGTTGATTTCGATAAAACAGTTGTCACAAACACGTTGAGGCTTCTTGAAGGAAGGGAGCTTGGCATTGTGTGCGGAACATTCCTGGCAGTATATGTTACCACAATTTCTACAATGGTGCTGTCAATAAGATAAACCAAGGTGAAAACAGTGCAACTTATCAGTAAAAATATCAGGTTATTTGCTACCTTGCATGTCCAATGATTTGTGCTAGAATTATCTCCCTTAAGGCAATATATTACTTCAAATGTATCAAATTTATGATTTTATGATTTTTATATTTCAATTTAAAGTTTTATTAAGTGGAATTACTATAAAGATAGTTTTGTTTGCTTTTACTTCAAAGCCTATTACGTGCTGCATTTTTGGAATGATAAAAAAACCCACCTGAATTCTAAAGGCCTCTATATATGATGATAATTAAACTGGCCCTGTGGGAATGAAGAAAATGCAGGTTTCATCATATCTGTAAATTTTTCAACATAACTTAGTATATAACTTACCCGCCGTACAGTGACAGAGAAACCTTTATTACAGCTCATACACTCCTTCACCTCGTTGTCGTCCGTCCACTTGCGGCTCTGCACCTTCGTTGTAGTTATCTTCAACAGTTAAGAGGGTTAAACAACTTAACTCATCCACTGGTTATGCTTGCTTACTCATCAGAAACTTGTTAACAATATTTTAGATAATCAGGCCCTAGTTTATAGCAATGTTCCGTAACTTAAGGAACTTCCTTGACTCAGATTTTTTTATTTGAAAGTACACTGTTGAAAGCAGAGTTCAAGTCTGTGGGTTAAATAATTTATGATAGAAATATTGTACATAATGTTTATCGGAACATTCTGTCACAGTTTTATTTTCAACTCCCCCCCCCCCCTTCGTAGCAAGGTGAATTTATCATTGTAATTATAATATTAGTTTAAGGTTCTTATATACCCCTTTATTACAACCTAATTCGTAGGTTGTTTCAAAGCGGTTTACAAATTAATTTCTGTGGTTATAGGGCCTTTGCAATCAGCCAATACCTTTCTCAACTCCCTGGGGAGCATGAAGCCTGTGCAGCCATTTCGACGCTCACAGCTAGCATTCAACAATTCTATCACTGCCCAACCACATACTCATTTACAGCCGAGTAGACTGGAACAAGCTAAGTCAAGTATCTTGCTCAAAGAAACAACACAGTGCCGTGACGTGACTCGAACCTGTAACCCTTTGGTCACAAGCCCAGTGTCCTACCACTATAGACTACTGTGCCTTGTAGCATAACAGTGAATACTGATAAATCACATAATATACATAGTAATTAAAACGGAAGGGCGAGTGTGTATTTTACCTGCGATGGGTGAAAGTTTGACTGTGTGAATATTTCCCTGTAAACAATAATGATCTAGAACGTGATATTACATAACTACGTGTATGAACACTTGTAATGACGATTTCTCTACAGATCTAAAACAGGTAGGATATGACCTCGGACTACCTACCTGTGACCACTGACACCCTTGGTATGTGACCTCTGACTACCTACCTGTGACCACTGACACCCAAGGTATGTGACCTCGGACTACCTACCTGTGGCCACTGACACCCTAGGTATGTGACCTCAGACTATCTACCTGTGACCACTGACACCCTAGGGATGTGACCTTGAACTACCTACCTGTGACCACTGACACCCTAGGTATTTGACCTCAGACTACCTACTTGTGACCACTGACACCATAGGTATATGACCTCAGACTACATACCTGTGACCAATGACACCCTAGGTATATAACTTCAGACTACCTACCTGTGACCACTGACACCCTAGGTATGTGACCTCAGACTACCTACCTGTGACCACTGACACCCTTGGTATGTGACCTCTGACTACCTACCTGTGACCACTGACACCCTAGGTATGTGACCTCGGACTACCTACCTGTGGCCACTGACACCCTAGGTATGTGACCTCAGACTATCTACCTGTGACCACTGACACCCTAGGGATGTGACCTTGAACTACCTACCTGTGACCACTGACACCCTAGGTATTTGACCTCAGACTACCTACTTGTGACCACTGACACCAAAGGTATATGACCTCAGACTACATACCTGTGACCACTGACACCCTAGGTATATAACTTCAGACTACCTACCTGCGACCACTGACACCCTAGGTATGTGACCTCAGACTACCTACCTGTGACCACTGACACCCTAGGTATGTGACCTCAGACTACCTACATGTGACCACTGACACCCTAGGTATGTGACTTCAGACTACCTACCTGTGACCACTGACACCCTAGGTATGTGACCTCAGACTACCTACCTGTGACCACTGACACCCTTGGTATGTGACCTCTGACTACCTACCTGTGACCACTGACACCCTAGGTATGTGACCTCGGACTACCTACCTGTGGCCACTGACACCCTAGGTATGTGACCTCAGACTATCTACCTGTGACCACTGACACCCTAGGGATGTGACCTTGAACTACCTACCTGTGACCACTGACACCCTAGGTATTTGACCTCAGACTACCTACTTGTGACCACTGACACCAAAGGTATATGACCTCAGACTACATACCTGTGACCACTGACACCCTAGGTATATAACTTCAGACTACCTACCTGCGACCACTGACACCCTAGGTATGTGACCTCAGACTACCTACCTGTGACCACTGACACCCTAGGTATAATTTGTAAGTGTATCTGACTTACCTGTAGTGACTGATTCTCCCTTCCCAGTTCCTGTAGAGCGGCCTGTGTATCGTCAAACTTCCTCCTGAACTCTGTGGCTTTCTCTCGCAGTCTTTGTCCCTCCTCCTCACTCTTCAGACACCTGTAGATATCAAACAGTCACAAACCCACTAAACCAGATCATTTTTAAGTAGATGTCAAACTTGTCTTGTGAATTACCAATAAACATATTAAGAGCTATCCTGGTAAAACGTTTATGCCACCCTAGGACTCCGGGTTTTGTTTAAACAGAACACCCATAGATCTTAAATCATCTTGGGAAGAAGAAATAAGCCCTAGGATAAAAGTGATTAATTTGGAGCTCTGGGCCAGGCTGACTTTACAAATAGCCTTAATGTGCATTGCTATTTCTAATTGTTCTTCACTATAAATAATTATTCACTTTTTTTGTATTATATCCTCTGTGTTTTAAATTATAGCCGTTATATTCAATACCATTCTGTAAATATCAAATCAAATGTTAATTTACATACATTTGTATTAACTTTATTATGGATTATATAAACTAATTTGCTTTTTGCAAATGTGTTATTTTACCAATGTGTAAATATTAGTATGTTCACTTCTGTAAATACTACCTTTCTAATAAGATTCTTCTTTCATCATTGTTGTTTTCTAATTTTGCTTCAAGTTCTAGAAAATATGGAAGGCAAGAATTTTCATACATAATTGTAATTTCATTTAAGTTCACAAAATAGTATAGCAAACAAACACAAACGTCAAGTGTGTTGGTGCAATCTGGCCAGCTGTATCCTACAAAACACATGTACGTAGATGTATATATAAAACATGGCTGACATTCAGAGGAATTTTGAATACAAGGCTGGGACACTAATCAGAGTTTTGCCATGAATCAACACAGAATTGTCATAGAAGAATGGTTCTAATTGGAATTACTGCTTCTGTTTGTTTACATCAGCAGGAAGTAAAAGGTGCCAATATTATGAAGTTGTAGGTATATTTTACAACCAGAACAACATTATTGAGTGTGAAACCATGCAGAATGAAAACTGTGTAAAACAAAAAGAGACTTGGGGACAAATTGATCAGTGTCACATAACTGCAATCAAACATTTTTAAATTATATACTTTTATTATCCATTATATCTAAAGCATTGGACAGTATTTAAACTATGTTGTGATAGTTAATAATTGACTAAAATCATAGAGAATCACTTTTATCAGGCAGTGTAAAAATTGGCTTACCATTATAGTAAAAGTACCATAAATATAATCAGCCTCCAGGGCACTGGAAAAATTGGCTGAAGGGGTGCATTTTTTGAGATAAGAATATAGGTTGTGTCAGTTAATGTTACAGCGACAATTTCAAGTTTGTTCACTGTTTTTACCTAAAACACTGGAAAATATTTTGGCCAGATTGGAAAACTGCAGTGTCTGATAAAAGTGTACATAGTACCATATTTTATTACACCACTAGTGAAAATCCTGTAATCTGATTGGTCGAGTCAAATTGTTCCTTTCACCAGTCACATCACTTTAACATTGAGTCAATGGGAGGGTGCTTCCCAACGCCCTAGCAACGAGTGACGGTGTGTGTAACAGTGCAAAATAGTGACTGTGTTAAGAAGATAAGCATACGGTTCGTTTCAGCCGTCATGTTGATTTTCGGTATAATAAAATATATACAACATTCATTAGTGTCTGACACAGCTATAGCGTCACCCCTTATATATCACTATCTCCCTCAAATGTACTATTTATATATTGTTAACCGGAGAGGGCCAGAATGGAGAGTGATTGGGAATAGGGGCGCTTACATCATTTCAATAAATGCCAAGAACAAGGAATGGGTGATTATAAAGGGAGAGATGCTAAATACAGTAAATACAGTATAATTGCAATATGAAAATAAAGTTCTCTGTGAAATAAACAACATATGAAGGAAAACTGAAATTCATCCACTCAAGCTCTGTACCTAGTTTTTCACCCGACAGTTCGTCGTTGGCTTTCGTGAGGTCCTCTACACTTTGCTGTGCGGTGACAAGATCGCCTCTAATGGTGGTCAGATTCTCATTGAGCACTGTCGACTGAAGTTCATATTTAGCTCTTTCTTCGTCCAAACTTCTCTGTATATCACTGCTACGTCGTTGTTCTTCAATCTATTCCAGACAAAACAATAATAAGACAGCGTAAGCCTAAAATAAATCTATGGATCTTTTTATAATCTTGATTTCTGTCCTGGAAATGTGTCGATTATCATACAGGGTAAAACGTCAATGGTTAGGTCCTGGATCAAATTGTTCAGGGTTTAAATTTTGCATGCTACCATTTATAGTCAAAATCCTAGCTAACTCTCAAACAGAGGGGAAAATAAATTTATGAACAATTTTCCTGGCCAGTAGATCTCTGAACAGTATAATATGAACTGACCAACTTATTTTGTAGTCCAGAATTTTCCTCGCGTAGCACCATCTGGCTCTCAGCGGCCTTGCTTTCTGCCTCTTCTTTCCCCTGCTCGATCTGTCATAAATATTACAGTAAACACAATTACAGAGAGATAAATACAGCTTTCGTATCAACATCTAAACATAATTCCTTGATAGAATTTATCCAAACTATAAGCAGATATTCAACTTGGTAAAACTTCAGGACTTTTCATCTTATACACATGTTCTGATAAATGATAATTTTGCTCTTTTTATTTCTCAGCTGTGTAACAAAGTAAGAAAGTATTTTTCTTTTCACTAGGTGTATCATTTGGGAATATAAGAAATTATGGAAATTTAGAAAAAAATAGGCTGTAGTCTTACTGTGTCCATCTTTTCTTCTAATTCTTTTCTTTGATTCTGTATTTCCAGTTTCTGAGAAATGAGAATTTCCTTTGCTTCTAATAACTCAGAGACCTCCTGTAAAGTAACAGACAAACAAATTCAAAAGACATTCTTTCAATCATAAATCAATAACCTCAGGATGTTTCTCTCCAATATCATGATTATTGATCTATGTTTCACAAATAATCTTACTCCAGATATATAATTATTTAGTACACAAATACAGGGATCAGAGTAATTGATTTATAGGTGTCAAATCAGTGATTCTTCAACCAAAATTTTACAACAGCCTTTAATTCCTTCATGCATTGGGGAAATATAGCATTATTTTTATTGAAATAGGAAGACATTCCTGATTTTTTGTGAAAGCACTTTTAGCCAGGGGAAGTAGCCGGTATTTGGCTGAATAATTAGGCAAAAAAAAAAAAAAATCAATGCAAATAAAGGTACATTTGCTAATTTTTGCTTTTGATATAACATGATATAAAGGATTACCACAAAACGTTTTGTGAAGACACAGTTCACAGATTGTTATATATGAAAGATATCCACAAGATTGTTGACCTTATATCGGTCTTTGTTCCGGATTGTTTGTACAGGATATAGTCACTTTTAAATGTTATTCATGTCGTAGTAAAACAACAGAAAACATTATGGAAATCGGTATCAAAGACATGTGAAACCATAGACTTCAGAAGTTCAAAAAATCTTAATATCTTTCGATGTATTTTATCATATTGTGACAGAAAAGTTGACCTTTCTTCTTTCCTGTTTCTCCGTCTCCAATTGAGAAGTCAGACGATTGATATCACTTTCATATGACTCGTTCACAGCTTTCATCTCTGTACAGGACTTCCTGAGCTCAGTTAGCTCTGTCTCCATGACAACCTGTAGGTGAAATGCTTAATATTTCAATTTCAAGTCGAGAAATTTATAGGTGTTTCCCAGCTGGGAGACTTGACAATATATCCCATGTAAGGACATGACTTCATACAAACAATTGGCAGACTTTGTACTGCATAAATGTCAACCTCTGAAACCTCCAATGAAGGAGATCTCCTTCATTCAAAATTTTTATTGAGGGAGAAAGTGTGTGAAATGTGACTGAAACGGCTTTGCTCAATTTATCTTTCTCTTTTTAGGAATCAAAATAACTCCAAAAAGCATTCATTTGATTCAGACACACCTGTTATGATCATTACACACGACCTGCAGTAACTAGGAGATCATTTGACCACAGGATGTATATTTTAATTTGTGAGAGTTTGGACTTGAATGAGGGTGTTTTGAGGGATAGAGTGGTAAATTATGGTCAAAATGAGGTCAGTCGCCCTCCTAATTTGGGAGGGTTAATTCGTTGACAGCTATTTTGTAGATATGGGTCGTGAAAAGCATTATTCCAACCATATACCCTCTGTTTAGAAAGTTCCTCATATATAACAATCTACCAGACATTTACAATACACCTTTATTTTAGAGTATTGCTCTTTGCCTTCACTTTGGAGCACACATTGGAGCACTTTTGGTTTGGTGTGTATTCCTTCTTACCTTCACTGTGGAGAGTTCCTCCTGTCGATTCCTACTCTCTGATAGTTCTTTGTCCAGTTCCACCATCCGTGTGTTCATGGCATTCCTCACCTGAAAGTCAAACAAGTATCTAGTTATATTCCATCTGTAGTTGAGATATTGCCCAAGTTTCATAAATGTTTACAGAAAACGCCAGCAAAAAAATAAAATAATAAATTGAGTTCTAGCATATAGTATACACATCTTTTAATTCTCAATGCTTTACTTTCATGTATAACTTTTACATGTTAATGAACTTGCTAAATATCAAAATTGTAATTTTAAAATTGCCATGTCTGAATATATATGGTCGCTTGAGTAGAAAGGCTAACTTTATTGTGAAGATAACATTGCCATAATAATACTTCAGCAGACAAGTGTATATTATACTTATGTTGGAATAAGTAAGTCAGATGTGATCCTGCACTCAAATTTACTCCTTATTATTTACCCGGTAACAGACCCTGATTCGTTTTACTGTAAACCTCTCCAATTTTTGTGAGGTATTTATTTTCACAATAATTCTCTCTCTCAGAACTTGGATGCATTAGACTACATTGTCTTAATTTCATATAAAGGTAAACACTGATTCAGTGATGATTTTCTTAATTATTATAACTGGAAACAAATCATACATATCATGGAATTCAAAATGATCACCCTCAGATGTTTTTCCCAAAAATACCCTTGCCTTAACAATCCTTCTTTTTTCATATTTTCTATTTATACACAAGCATTTTACAAACAATGTTTTTACATGTGATGATAAAAGTATTTACAGCAAATATAACATCAAACAGACACACAGTACCCTGTTTTCAAATGTTGCCATGCCCATCTGGATTTGCATATGTGCTCCAGCTCAGATTTGAGGAAATCCAAGCTTCCAAGCTTTTTAGTTTTACAATCCTTGAATTTATTTCTAATTTCATTTATAAACTGATGAAGCCCCATACAACTTCATTGAGGTCATCATGAGATAATAAGCTTGACTGAAAGACAGCACGATACATTTTCCAGAGGCTAAATACATTATTTTCACTTTATATTTTTCTGTTACCTCACTAAGCTCGTCAAATGAGTTGTTGAGCTCTGTCTCCCGCTCTTTGGCTTTGATGAGCTCTTTGTCGGTGTCAGTGTGCGCACTCTGGAGCTTCCCTAGACTAGTTTCTGTGGCGGATAGTTTGGCCTCCAAATCCTCCTGTTTCTCTTTGAGATTCTGTAATACAAACCAAAACATACCCTTCAACTGTACAGTTGCCTATATTTCACTATGTATACATGTTTGCGAATCTCTATATAATGTTTTTATAAGGTTTTAACTCACTGTCAGAATAAAAAAAATAAAAAAATGCGTTAAGTTTGTTAAACAATACTTAAGATTTTGTTTCATTCTAAGGGCTGTTCCATAATTTGTCATATGAGGGGGTGGGAGGCACCTATATTATTATATTATCGGTGGTGGGTTTAAGATAAGATTTGCCTATCAATATATATTAAACCACTTGGGGTCTCAAAAAGAGTGCCTTCCCTACCTCTCACAGGATTATATCTGGAACAGCCCTAAAATGAACCATTTCATTTCTGTTTACTCTTACATAACTTATATAATATTTATAAACTTTATTTAATTTACAATAATTATGAAACAAATTATTTCAACTTATATTAATCACTCTTGTTGACCCGGATGTTAGCACACAGGGGTCTTATTGTGGGAGGAAACCGGAGTACCAGGAGAAAACCCACGTGGTCGGGCGAGCAGCTGGTACCCCACACCTTTTATCGTCCGATCGGGGAATCGAACCCAGGCCACCTTGTTGAAAGGCAAGTGCGCTATCCACTGCACCAGCAGACCACCCTATGTTATGTTACTCTTATACATTTTTTATCCTTTACATGCATCAGGGCTTAAAACATTAAAAACTTGACACTGACCTTTAACTAAATGTAGTCCACAACTAGAGATTATATGACTATTTGTATACTTCTAAAATGAAAACATGTGGGAATTATTATGACTTGTGAAATCACATAACTCCATACGAGTGGCAACTAACTATAAACACACAATTTACCATTTCACTTGTTTATAATTGATAACTTTAATTAAATTAATTTCCTCATAACTTTAATGTATTCCTATTATATTAGTTATATCATCTATTTTATCATTTGCATTATATCCAAGTATCTACATATTATCTTCAGTCTCAGTCATGGCTTGACAATGGGACCAGTCGGTCTTAAAATATTGCGACAAGTTCAACACGTAGTGTTTGTGTATTAAGTAAAAGTTTGATAATACATATTATGTATCTACATAATACTTTTTGTTTTGTATATCACAGTATAATGTTTAACAATTAAGTGTGAGATAGGATTGTCACTGGACTACTTCTGTCAGTAATGGCTGGTGTTAGATGTTGAGTTTTATAGGAAGGCTAACCTTGATCTGTTGTTGGAGTTCCTCAGACTCGGCCACCTTGCCCTCTATCATGGCCTTCAGCTGCTGTTCTTTCATATCAATCTGCTCCTTCTGAAAACACAGATTATTTTTTAGTTCAAATTTACAGGATGATAAGAAAGTTTTGACCTTATACACATCTGTAGCTCCAACCTGTGTTGAAGTCAGTTATTGTCATGTTTAGGTTTCCTGTCTTGGACTTTGACCTTATACACCGGTAGTACCAGCTGAGCTGAGCTGTCTGAAATGAGTAATCTCTAACCTTTTCACCCCTATGTAACTTAAGTAAACCCTAACATGCATTGATCTGGATGAGCCCATTATGGTTAACAGTGGTGAAAGGGCTACATCATTTTGTTTTGTTTATATTAAAACTCACTAACCCTTCCCTTCAAACTCTAGTTTGTCTTTTAGTTCAGTAATCGATGTCCAATGTTTCTGTATTGACCTATGACCCTACTCACCTACATGTATATGTACATTATTGTACATGTAGCTCTAGACTGACTTTGAGGTCAGTCACCTATGTCCTAGTTTTCTGACTTGAACCTTGACCTCAATGGTACTTACCTGAAGCTCCAGGTTGCCCTTGAGGTCAGTAACCTATGTCCTAGTTTTCTTACTTGAACTTTGACACTTACTTACCTGAAGTTCTAACTTGTCTTTCAGGTCAGTGACCTCCGTGTCCAGTTTGTCTGCCCGACCCTGTAAGGCTGCCTTCTCGGTCTCTAGATTGGCTACCTATACAATTAACAATATATCTGAATATAAATATCAGTCAAATTTTTAAAAAGTCCTTTTTTTTGCCATCACACATATTTCCTCACTTAATTTTAATGTGTTAATGAAAACTATAACAGAAAACAATATTTGTATATGCCATGTGAATCTTTTCCTGTGAATAAGGAAATGACAATTGATAAATTTCATTTTATATTAAAAATGAAAACTTCAGGCTCTTGTACATTTAATGCTGACAATTGCAGTTTTAATAACACAGTTCAATTTTTTTCCATTTATTCATCTGATTTGGAGTGGGACTATAACCAATAAGTGGTTAGCGACTGATAAATACTGAGTTTTTTTCTGCAAAATGGTACTACGATTTTTAAATATTAGAAATGCCCATTTTAATTTGCGTAAACTTGACAAACATTCCTTTCTGTTTTATTATACACATGCATCATTTTATTTTGAAATATAAATTTATTTGTGAAGATTCAGAATAATATAATATATTAAGAAGACATTACCTGAGATTTCAGACTTGTCTCGGACGCTGATTTATTAGTTGCCAACTCCTGTAAAATAAATTCAGAACTGTACAGACATTTTACAAGCATACTGATTTGAATTCACCCAAGGGAGATAATTGGTAGATTAATGCTAATTAACATAATGAACTGTGAGTATTTGTATTTGTGTGAAGACAAAGTTTGAAGTATTAGTTTCATTACTGCAAAATGAGAACTTCTCGTATGGATTTTGTTCATTCTATTTCCCCTTGAAAGAAAGAAATCATTATGAGAAGAAACCTGTGGTATATTTAACTGGTATATGGGAAAATTCAAAAACAAGTCAAATTTGTTTTTAAAGGTTAAGGGCAAAGATTTGGCCAAGAGACAATATTGAGGTCTAGAATATTACAATGATTTGACATGATCCTTCAATTTGTGAATACATTTTAAATTCTCATTCGGGAGTGTTAGTCGTGTGCTGACCTTCTCAGTAGATAGTTTGGTCTTCAGTTCCTCTAGCTGTGCACTCAAACTATTCTTGTCTGCCGCATGCTGATCTCGACTTATCTTCAGCTCTCCCTCCAATGATGCCTTCAAGGAGAAAGTAAAAAAGATTACTGACAACTCAGTAAAGTACATGTACATGTAACTTTATCAATGTAAGTGTTAATGTACCCTTTGTTAACCTAAGGTGTCAATGTACCCTTTGCCAACATAATGTGTTAATGTACCCTCTGCAAGCTTACGTGTTAATGTACCCTTTGGCAACATAAGGTGTCAATGTACTCTTTGTTAACCTAAGGTGTCACTGTACCCTTTGTTAACCTAAGGAGTTAATGTACCCTTTGTTAACCTAAGGGTACCCTTTGTTAACCTAAGGGTACCCTTTGTTAACCTAAGGCGTCAATGTACCCTTTGTTAACCGAAGGTGTCAATGTACCCTTTGTCAACATCAGGTGTAAATGTACCCTTTGTCAACATCAGGTGTAAATGTACCCTTTGTTAACCTAAGGTATCAATGTACCCTTTGTCAACATCAGGTGTAAATGTACCCTTTGTTAACATAAGGTTTCAATGTACCCTTTGTTAACCGAAGGTGTAAATGTACCCTTTGTTAACCTAAGGGTACCCTTTGTTAACCTAAGGGTACCCTTTGTTAACCTAAGGGTACCCTTTGTTAACCTAAGGGGTCATGTAACCTTTGTCAACATAATGTGTTAATGTCCCCTTTGCCAACCTAAGTGTTAATCTACCATTTGTCAACATAAGGTGTCGATGTATCCTTTGTTAACCTAAGGTGTCAATGTCCCCTTTGTCAACATAAGGTGTCAATGTTCCCTTTGTTAACCTAAGGTGTAAATGTACCCTTTGTTAACCTAAGGGATAGTTTGGTCTTCAGTTCCTCTAGCTGTGCACTCAAACGATTCTTGTCTGCCGCATGCTGATCTCGACTTTTCTTCAGCTCTCCCTCCCATGATGCCTTCAAGGAGAAAGTAAAAAAGATTACTGACAACTCAGTAAAGTACATGTACATGCAACTTTATCAATGTAAGTGTTAATGTACCCTTTGACAACATAAGGTGTAAATGTACCCTTTGTCAACATCAGGTGTAAATGTACCCTTTGTCAACATCAGGTGTAAATGTACCCTTTGTTAACCTAAGGTGACAATGTACCCTTTGTTAACCTAAGGTGTCAATGTACCCTTTGTTAATCAAAGGTGTAAATGTACCCTTTGTCAACATAATGTGTTAATGTACCCTTTGCAAGCTTACGTGTTAATGTACCCTTTGTCAACATAAGGTGTCAATGTACCCTTTGTTAACCTAAGGTGTCAATGTACCCTTTGTCAACATAATGTGTAAATGTAACCTTTGTCAACATAATGTGTTAATGTACCCTTTGCCAACCTAAGTGTTAATGTACCCTTTGTCAACCTAAGTGTCAATGTACCCTTTGTCAACCTAAGGTGTCAATGTACCCTTTGTCAACGTAAGTTGTCAATGTACCCTTTGTCAACCTAAGTGTTAATGTACCCTTTTTCAACCTAAGTGTCAATGTACCCTTTGTCAACCTAAGGTGTCAATGTACCCTTTGTCAACATAAGGTGTCAATGTACCCTTTGTTAACGTAAGGTGTCAATGTACCCTTTGTCAACATCAGGTGTAAATGTACCCTTTGTCAACCTAAGTGTTAATGTACCCTTTTTCAACCTAAGTGTCAATGTACCCTTTGTCAACCTAATTGTTAAAATACCCTTTGTCAACCTAAGTGTTAATGTACCCTTTGTCAACCTAAGGGTTAATGTACCCTTTGTCAACCTAAGTGTCAATGTTCCCTTTGTCAACCTAAGTGTCAAAATACCCTTTGTCAACCTAAGTGTTAATGTTCCCTTTGTCAACCTAAGTGTCAATGTACCCTTTGTCAACCTAATTGTTAAAATACCCTTTGTCAACCTAAGTGTTAATGTACCCTTTGTCAACCTAAGGGTTAATGTACCCTTTGTCAACCTAAGTGTCAATGTTCCCTTTGTCAACCTAAGTGTCAAAATACCCTTTGTCAACCTAAGTGTTAATGTTCCCTTTGTCAACCTAAGTGTCAATGTACCCTTTGTCAACCTAATTGTTAAAATACCCTTTGTCAACCTAAGTGTTAATGTACCCTTTTTCAACCTAAGTGTCAATGTACCCTTTGTCAACCTAAGGTGTCAATGTACCCTTTGTCAACATAATGTGTAAATGTAACCTTTGTCAACATAATGTGTTAATGTACCCTTCGCCAACCTAAGTGTTAATGTACCCTTTGTCAACCTAAGTGGCAATGTAACGTATGTCAACCTAAGTTGTCAATGTACCCTTTGTCAGGCTAAGTGTCAATGTACCCTTTGTTAACATAAGGTGTCAATGTACCCTTTGTCAACATAAGGTGTCAATGTCCCCTTTGTTAACCTAAGGTGTTAATGTACCCTTTGTTAACCTAAGGTGTCAATGTAAGTTTTCAATGAGTCCAATATTAAATATTAATCTAAGGTTTGATCTGATATCACTTTTAAAAGAATTTGTGAGACTTACTCACAGAAAGAAAATGATGTAAGAAATAATACAGAGAACCTTATGAAAATAGATCTCCATCTAATTTTGATAGATAAAATCTCATCATTGTTCAGATAACTACCTTTTCTTTAGTGCTTGTATCAGTTGTTGTTTGGAGGAGCTTCTCTTTAGACGTGAGAGAAGTTTTTAGCTCACTGACACTTTTCTCCAGGAGTGAACAGTCAACCAACAGCTTCTCTTTCTCCTTCTGTATACTGCTCATCTGAAAAAAATAGGAAAAATTATGCTAAAATATTGATCTTCTCCTTGACCCTATTCTGTAAATAATTAAATTTATTTTGAGTTTTAGATATTTTTAAATGCTTTAATATCTTGGGACAACTTGACACGATAATTAATATGAGGTTAGAAGGGTGAGAAAAATGATTATAAATTTGTTGTCCACAAAAACTTGAAAACCAAATTACAGTTAAACAGCATGAATACATCAGGCAAACCTCCTTGTAAATGTTAAGTTTTAGTGGCTTACCTCCCCTTGAAGCTTCTCCTGTAAGGCTGTTCCCTCAGATTTCATCTTTCCCAAATCTCCTTTCATTCCTTTGATGTCTTCTTTGTGCTTCTTCTCCATCTGAAATGTAAAGTATAATACATATTATGCATGGAGTCAGAACATCCTCTACAGTGCTATTCAAGTTTTAGTGTTTACCTTCATTTTTGTTACCCTATTCTTTTACATGAAATTTTAGGTCTCCACTTAAATGGACCAGTAGACTTCACCTTGTGCATAACATGTGGATTTAATATTTTTGGCTAGTCAAGTTTCATTTGAATTCAGAGGTAAATCATCATGGCAAAGAAAGTTGAATGTACATGGTTTGGGTTTCAAGTGTTTTATGTCCTATTAACAGGAGGTGCCAAGTATTGGTGGTGGAGGAAACATGGAGTACTTGGGGAAAAACATTGACCTTTGCCCTGTACCTGGCAACAACCTATGTAAGCCTCAAACTTGTGACCAAGTGGTGGAGGGCTAGTGATTGTAGATGACTAGACGCATTAACCATTCGCCCACTGTGGCCCCTAGTTATACATGTATATAATGAACATAGCTTTATTAACACCCTTTCATAAGTACCAGAAACAACCCATACAATGTAACTCACTAGACTTGGGATTTCAATAGATACGCTAGCCAGTCCTGTAAAATTTGATATGCTTATAATTTGTGCAGTTAAAAAAAATATTGAAAAACTTAATAAAAAAGAACACTTTAGCAAAGGACCCCTTGGTTACCCACAGTGTGGGTAAAATTTCACATGAATGATTTCGAAAAATAAATCACGATATTTCATTGTAACATGATCTGTAACGGGATGGATTACCAACCTTAGCCATCTCCTCCTCGCGCGCTGTCAGAGTAGCTGTTCTTTCTGTGAGAGACTTCTTGGTAACCTCTAATTCTTGGCTAAGTTCAAGGCAAGATTTCTCCTTCTTTTCCAGATCTGATTTCTACACCAGACAAAGAATTTAGTAGAATTCTTTACAAATCCTTTTAACATTCTTGCAGGACAACAAAATATATACTACATGGTAATTTTTTTAAAGAATCTGATGAAATTTCAAAATTTCTGGCCAGATGTTCACGTTATCTTTATTTATATCCTAGGTAAAAAAAAAAGTTTTTTTATTTTTTTATTTCAGAGTCAACGAAATGATTTCAAAAAGGAAAAAGATTAAGTGATTTAAAGAAACAATTACCACGGTATACGTATTTGTCTTAATATCATTTGTCAGATAATTTTTTTCATGACATAGTCAATTGTATAAAAAAAGTGAGAAAAACCACGGATAATAATTTCTGAACCGCTTTGAGACGACCTACGAACTAGGTTGTGATGAATTATTATTATTATTATTGATGATTATTACCATTATTATTATAAAAAAAGTTTTTTTTTAAAGAATAACAGACTCACCAAAGTGACCAGCTGCTGGTTCAAGCCTGTCATTTCCGTGGCTTGTTTTTCGACCCGAGTTTTAAGTTTTCCTATCTCTTTACCACTCGTTTTCTTAGTCTGGATAAAAATACATTCAAAATAAGAATTGTACATTCATCAATTCAAAATAATTATGTGATAACTACAAAGAGCATATTTTTTAGTCTTCAATCCTGAGATGAACAATCTTAAAATGAAATGTACATCATAAATTAACACAGCGAATGTTACAATACGTTTCTTTAGAGTCATTCAGCTGATGATGTTATTGGACAATAAACACAGTTCTTAGAAATGTTTGCCCTCCACTGTAGATCTATTATAATGCATAAGATATTTATATTAGCAAATAAATCTCCCAACTCTTGTGTCTTGTTAAGATATATTAAGACACTTTTAAAGGAATGAGATCTATGTATGTAGCTGAACTAGACTGGGTTGATCATCAGCGACCAGGTAGCTCAAATGGTAGAGCCTTGAACTAGAGTTTGGAGGGTCCCTGGTTCGGATACCAGTATGGCCGAACATTTTATTTGCTCCTGTTACAGAATTGGTCATCTTCGGGGGCGAAGACTTAGAAAAAGGAGGGAGGAATGTAGCGTAACTTGAGAGGTTCAATCGTCGTGGACCAGGTAGTACAATTGGTAGAGCGTCCATCTTGAGTTCGGAGAGTTTTGGCCATGCATTTTTTCACTCCTGTTACATGTATGTACCTCTTATTGTTTATTTCATCAATCCCAATTCTTGCCAATATTTTATACTGTAGTATAACATATCTATTTTACTATATCTGATAACGATATGAGAGTATAGGAACACCTTACCATGTCTAGGTCCTGTTCTACTTGTAGAAGTACCCTGTTTTTCTCCTCCAGGACTTTCTTGGTTGATGATAACTGGTCTTTGGCCTCCTTTAGGTCCTTCTCCGACTTATCTAAGGCTGCCAGCTATGGTTGAACATAAAAAGTAAAATCATTCAAATCTTTCCTACAGGGAACTTTGCACACTTCCTCTTAACTCTGAATTCAACACCAACAATATGCAAATGTGCTTTCAATTTTGAAATAAATAAGTTTTAATTTTTCATCTTCAGCCAACAGTTTAACTGGTTTCAAACTGTCTAGACTGATAATTATAGTCACTGGGGATGGTCCATCTGTAGGATTACTGCCCGTACTTGTGACTAGCTGACCTGGGTTTCTTCAGGATAACATGCCTGAAGTTATTTTCTGTAACGTCTCATTACAATTGGGTGATTATATTATGATTGTTAGTTTTTGTGGTTATAACTAATCATGTGTCAACTCTGAAAACCACTTTAAAATGTCCTTTCCTATAAACATGTACTACTGTATATACCTAGTTAACAAAAATAAGCCCCCTTTTCCACTTTCAAATTGGTATAAATGTATCAGGTAAAGAGTGTGTGCTTGCAATTTCCCCCCCCCCCCCCTCACTTTTCTTTTAAAAATTTCTTAACAAATGATATTTTTTTTCAATTGTTCACCTAGGGCTAGCTATAGTTGGCTCCAAAGAGCTCAATTTCTTCAAGTCCTTTTTAATTTAGCAAAAATCTTCTTTAATATAAAGCCATACCTAAAACATGTGCTAGACTTAAAACGATATAAAGTAAAAGAAAAATAAAAAAAAATCCCCGCATTAAATAATACATGTAGGGTATGTTGATTTTTTTCTTTCAAATGATATATGCAAGTGCCTTACTTTTTCTTTGTGTTGTCTGTCTAGACTGGTGTGTTGCTGAGACAACAGGGCGAACTTTTCTAGCTGTTCCTTCTGTGAAGTTTCCATGGCAACTATTTTCTCTTTTCTAGCTGCCAAATCCTTCTGTACCTGTACACCCATCAACGAAAATGTATAAAATTTCATATTGTGATCTTACTAAATTCAATTATTATCATGAAAAAAAACTCACTTAAATCAAACTATTTTTCTGTATTTTCCTGCAAAGGGTCTTGGATAGTTATGGTAAAACAGACAACACTATTGACAAATTTCCTTTATGTAATAACTTAAAATTGACAAATCCTTTATGTGATAATTTTAAAAATTATCACATTTTCTTCTGGTAAAGTTTACAAATGTACAAACATCCCATGCTTTAAATCCTGGATCACTTTTATAATAACTTGTCTTTACTTTTCAGTTACAAGTACAAAATGTACTTAAACACAAAATTTAGAAAAATGCTTGACCTCTAGATCTGTACTGACCTGGTCGACCTGAAGGCGGAGTTTATCCAGCTCCGCCCCCTTTTCCTCCACCATGTTCTGAGCTGTCTTGAGGTGGTTCTCTAGGTCAACCCTCTGACTTGTCTTGGCTGCCTCTAAACCCAGCAGAGATTCCGTCTATAATTATAAATCTTCATTCAGCAATACAATCTGTAATTCAATTCACGTTAATAAATGCTGATTTTCTGTATTTTTTCGAAGATTTATTTTTTATCCTGCTTTAATTTTTTCATATTGTTAGTTAGGGTTTTAAAATAGTTAAATCAAATATTGAAGAGCTACTAAAGCACAACTTCAGCTTTTGAATGAAAGTCTGGTCTTTATTGAGACACGAGTTACAGTCATGTGGTAGAACAAGAATGATTTGACTAGACAAACATTCCTCCCAAAAGATGGTTCTAACTTTCAAACTATTTTCAACAATTCTTATCTGTTCACCTTTTTCATTGTTAAAGAAATATCTTCAGTAAGCCCCCAACCCTCCGGAAGAGGAATGGCACAGATACAAAATGCAATATTGTATTACCTTCAGTCTGTCTTTTAGATCATTCAAAAGTTGGTAAAATCTGTCATGCTAATTTAAACCTCAAGGCTGACCAGTCATGTCTAGTATTAATCTTGACCTTGAGCACTGGTCTAAGCATTAACATTAAGCAGAAATATTGACCTTGAGTGGTATCTTTGACAATGACCTTGAACTATTTCCTTGACCTCTAGTACTAAACTTAACACTGAATACCTTTACTGTCATAACCTTGTCCTTGATTACTAACCTTGACCTTGACCTCCCCCTCCAGTGAGTGCAACCTCTGCTGAGCAGAGGTCAGCTGTTCTCCTTGTTCCTCTAATGTTGCATGTAACTTCTGACCTTTGTCCTCTGTTGCCTGTAATTGACCTTTGACCTCAGTGATTTGCTTATGTAAACTTTCAACTTTGACTTCATTATCGGCGGTCTGTGTCTGTAGCGTCTGCTCCAAAGTGGTCAGTTTCTCTTGTATCATTTCCTGAAGTGAGAATAATGTGTAATATGAAAAGGATTACAGTAGTCTACATACAAAAGTATGTACCATGGTACTAACTTATCCATAAATTCACCAAAGTTTGATAAGATCACCTAGGTTTGACAGTTTTAGTGAGAATACCACAATTTTAAACTTGGACATGTACTGTGTTAAGTTATGAAGTTAGCTTTTAAATTTTTTGAAACCTTACCTTTTCTTGTTTTAACTGAATGATGACGGTCTCTGTTCCCTCTCCGGCTTCTATCTGTAATCAAATAATTCATCAAACAGTTAACATACCGTATGTTTATTTAATATTCAGTGTTTGAAAATATGAATTAGATATTTACATATTACATTTTGTATATAGATTGGTGGTTTTGTAATACTTTTAATACATTAATTTTTGTGGGTTTTTAATTTCCTTGATTTCGTGGGTAATCTAGATCTTCATCCACAAATTCATAGATCCACGACGTAATTACAAGTTTGACATAAAGCAATTTTCCATATGAGTGGGTGCTCGTAATCCACAAATCATGTACCCATGGAATGTTTTTTTTGTTGGGAAACCACGAAATTTTGGCCCCATGAAAATATTTGATTTCAGAGTATACTAGGTTATGGTAAAATATTATTTTACTTGACCTTGGCTATGAGGTCAGTCCTCTCAGTCTCCAGCCTGGTCAGTTCCTCTTTACTGGAGGTCACCTGGTTCTCTAGTGATGTGATCTTCTCCTCCCTGAGAGCAGATCAAACAGATTTTTATAAGTATATCTTGGTCAAAAATTGACTGCAGAGTGGGTTTTTTTTAGAGAAAGATTTTATTTATAAAAATTCCAAAATATATCAATTAAGATAATATGAATATTTCATCAATCACAAAACTTTTATATATATTTAAACTTTACTGATATGGTTTGGAAAGCAATGAACTTTCAGTTTAATATAAAATATTGGTGGTGAAGTAATATGCTTGTTAGCATAGGTACAGTAATACTATGGAGAAAAAAATGGGTGATGAAAACTACATTTAGTTACATCATTCTCCCAAATCATGTGACTGAAAAGTACAATCAACTGATACAAGTCATAACCCATTTAATTTGACATATACTACAAGATGTACTTGAAATGAAGGGATGTCATACTTTCAAGCCAGAGAAGCAGTGACCTACTTTGAATTGACTTTCCTCTGCTCCTCCTGTAGTAGCGACTCTTTCTCTCTCAAGGTTGTCTTCAGCTCATCATTTGCGGAACACTGAGGAGGGATAACTAACAGTTAAGTCTAGGTATACTGTATGTAGATTTTCTTCAACAAGATTCATCAGTTTGGAAATATGTGATATCAAAGTTTTTCTTTCTACACAAACAATGTACATATTTAATGTGTCGCAATATTTCAAGACCAACTGAAACATACATAAAGGAATATCCATCATTTGGATCGCCCAGTCTACATTTAACTTTGTGATGGCATAACTGATTTTTTTTCTTCAAATGGGAAAATATAGGGCTCAATAATGTACACTTTGATTAAAAGTGCCAACAATCACAAAATTAGATTTTTATCATCTTTGGCTGTGTTATACCTATAGACTCACATTGAAACACAGATTCTAAATATAATATATAAATGTTACTATTAAAGATCTACTGGTAACTTTTTGCTTTCCATTTACAACCACTGATTTTGACTTAATTTTGTTTAGCCGTGTTGTCCTGAAAATATGATCATTTTTTTATGACTGACCTCTTGTTGGTAATGCTGCGTCATACTAGACAACTGCTGCTGTAAACCGTCCAGCTCTGAAGACCGAGTTTCTCCGCTGGACTGTTCCTGAAAATGTATAAGGTAAACAGTTTGATATGCATAATTAACTTGGTTCGGTTTGTTTGGGTTTAAAGTCCTATTAACAGCTATGGTCATTGAATGATGTGCCAGGTTTAGGTGTTGAAGGAAAGCCGGAGCTAGCGGAGAAAAACCACAGACCTGCGGCCAATACCTGGCGACTGCCCAATGTAGGTCTCAAACCTGCGACCCAGGGGTGGAGGGCTAGTGGTAGCAGAATGTCAGACGCCTTAACCACTCAGCCACCACATCAATTTTAGTAAATGAAGTTAATCCTCATTTATCCAGCTCCCACTAAGCCATTATTAGTGTCTAGGCACCACTTAACCATATGTCCCACTACACAGCCTCATAAATCCAGCCACTGCCAATGCAATCCATTTGTCCATCTATCCACAAAGTTTTTAAGGGGTTTCAGATTGGCACTTTCCTATACAAAAATGTCCCAGTAACTCAGCTGCACCATACAATTTACTTAGCCACTTTTACTTAGCTTAAAAGTGGTTGCATTATTGAGGCAATATCAAAAACAAGCTCTTCAGCACAATACTTCAATTGTTGTCAATTCTGTTACATCATTTTCCTCTCATTAAAATGTAAACACAAGATATCCCCTGTAACAAATCAAAGGGGTTCAGGTTGGGAAAGTGACCTGCCCCCTGATGTCAACCAAATATTTTCAATACAAATTTGACATATTTCATCTCCAGGGAAGCTTACCTTTTCAAGCTCCAGTTTGAGGTTGTTACACATTTGCTCCTTTTGGTGCAAGAGTTCTTGTGATTGTGACTTATGGTCAGTCAGCTGTTTCTCTAGTTCAGAGATGTTGGCTTCCTTGTCATGGACAGTCTGTAACGTCTACAACAGATGGCACAAAAACCACACATTCAAAACACCATTTAATATGAACTTGAAAATAGTTTTACCTTAAAAAGTTAATTATCAATGTTCAATATATTTTAACACAATACTATACATGTATTATCTTTCACATATTATTTAAATGAAAAACAAAATCTTCTAAATTATCAGGTAAATTCACCATGTAAGTAATATATTTCAATAATTAATTAAGAAATCAATGATACTATACATAACCTTATTTATGTAATAGGAATACTAGAACAAAGCACCAAACTAGTAACTGTACCTGTGTCAACTCTTCCTCGGCGTCCTTGACCTTGACCTTACTCTCTTCTAGGTTCTGATTAGTCAAGGTCAATTCTGACTCACGCCTGTCCAGGGCTACCTGGAGATCTGAAATCTGATTGGCTTTCTCAAGCAGCTGTTCCTGTATGGTGCTGCTTTGTTCCTTTCCCTGATAAAACCCCCAAAGATAATAGTATACAGTACATAAAAAACCTGCTTCATGAGAAGTCACTCAGAATTTGAAATTCATATTCTAAATCTTGCATAAATATGGTAATTGTTTTTGTTTTTCAAAATTTCAAATAAATATTGATTGTAGCATGTTTGGAATTCATACAAAAATTATTATGACTTTTATATGAATTTCTCAGAGATAATAATTATATGATAACATCACAAACTCATTCACCCCTAAAGTCACATTTGAACCTCACCAAATCAATGACTTGGCAAGTCCAGTTTAGATATGTAGGGGTGAATGAGTTAATACTGAAAAGTTGGTATGGAGATTTACATCACAGACTGAAATAAATACTAGAAAAATACGTTTTTCATTACTGGGTAAATAATACAGAGGGATACCAGCATTCGCCCATTGAATGATCATGGAATGTTGCTGGCATCATGAAAACAAAGTCACATCCCTGATGGCCTGGTTAACGTCTCAACTAGTACTCTCCAGCACTTTTCAATATTTATATATAAATTAAAAACTTTGCATGCAATAAATATAACCATACAAAATCTAAGATCCAAAGCCGATGCAGGCACAACCATGGACTATGGGATCATGTATTCCTTGCTTTAATTCTGGAGAATGAATTGATTTGATGTTGCCCTATACTTACTGAAAGCAAGTCCGTCTGTAGCTGTATGTACTGTTCATCCTTCTGTCTGAGCTTGGTCTGAGCAGTCGATAAGTCATCGGTCACAGAGTCAAGGTCACCTTGGAGCTTCACAACCTCTGCATCCTTGATCTCTGTCTTCTTCTCAGCCTCCTCCAGCTTCTGTGTTACCTGAAGTGACATCAAAATCAAATGATCTCAACAATCACTCAGTACATGTTTCTGTAGCATGCATCATATAAAATATGGTATGTTTTTTTATAATACTGAAGCATTCTTGAATTACAATTCACTGTATCAAGTTTGTGACTTCTCCAAAAATACACTTTTTTTTATCTAATTTGATCTTTTAGGAATCTTTTATACATTGCAAAACATGTACAACTCACAGTATATATTCTATACTTAGTCATATGAGACTGAAATGTGTATTCCTGGGTTATATTAATACTAGAAATACACTGCTTTCATTTAAACAGATCATATGTAAGACTACACATACCCTTCTCCCATTCTCAAAGGGACATAAAAATAAAAAAAATTGAGAAAGAATGTATTTGATGTTACTCGTACTACCCACTGAATGGAGGTCTGACTGAAGCAAAGCGTACTCTTCCTCCTTCTGCCTGAGCTGGGTCTGAGTGGTTGCTAGGTTACCACTTACAGAGTCAAGGTCACCTTGGAATTTCACAACTTCTGCATCTTTGACCTCTGTCTTCTTCTCAGTCTCCTCCAGTTTCTGTGTTACCTGAGATGTCCAACAATGGATTACATAAACTCTTATTCAAAAATTTACTGAGCCTTTCTTAATCAATCTAGCATATCAAAAACGTTCTTGGTTGTTTTAAAAATATTGAAAATGCCTAAAAACAATCAATTCACATGTATCAAATTTAAGATTATCATAAAGATTCTTTTTAATTGATTTTTTATGCCATTAAACATTAACACTACACAACAACAATGCAAAACATATACACCTTACAATGCACATTCAGAACATGTACTGATTATTAAGGAGATGTATATCAATGACTTTATAAGTCAATGGAAGAAATAAACAACTGTCTTCCATATGAAAAATCAATAACCTTTAATACCAATTTAACATGAAATCTTCATTAATTTCATATACCAGATAACTCATGTAATGAGGAACTAATAAAAGACCGAATTAGTTAAAGTTAACTATCAACATATTATAAGTCTGTTTTTAAGAAACTTGTAACAGTACAAGTTACCAGCCAAATCCATATATTGTACATAAGCTTAAGGTAAGGTTCGAGGCATTGGCACTTTGGTGGTATGAAGAAAAAGCAAGTTCAACAAACTAGAGAGAGAACATTCCTTGTAAAGTAAGACTTGATCATCCATATACATGTATACCCACTGCTCTTCTGTAGAAATAGCAACAAAGGTTATTTCATTGTCCTATAATAGATAGGCCCAACTCCTTTTAATTTTGAGTCAGGTATTATATAATGTTGGCTTCCCCGGGATTATTACAGGATATATACGTTACATATCTAACAATGTAAGAAAACTACAAATTCACCACTGCACAAACTTGTAAACCTGTGGCATCAGAGCTATACATAGTATCACTCCAATCCTAGGTCACTTTGGTAAAAAAACATGCATTTACACTATTAAAGACTTCTGAAAAAGCATAGATTTGTTTTGAAATTAATGGATCTGGTGTTGCTATCTTTACCTACCGAGAGGTGATCTGACTGAAGCTGTGTGTACTCTTCCTCCTTCTGCCTGAGCTGGGTCTGAGTGGTTGCTAGGTTACCACTTACAAAGTCAAGGTCACCTTGGAGCTTCACAACCTCTGCATCCTTGACCTCTGTTTTTTTCTCAGCCTCCTCCAGTTTCTGTGTTACCTGCCAGTGACAGCAAATCAACACATACAATTTTAACTACCTAATTTCTGTTTTATGTCTTAAATAACCTGCAGCTAATATTTATTAAACTTGAGAACAGTAGATTGTACTAAGTTGAAATATTGCTATGTAATATCATGGAAATATTGCCCTAGATATATTAAAACATTCATTTGGAGACAATTTTTCATGCTTTTACCATGCAGTTGTATTTAATTTCAGTTTTTGCTACCTACTCAGTCTGAAACAATAAATGTCAGTTTCACCTCTGACCCATGATTTTACATGCTGAACCTATCCTGTAAGTAAATGACATATGACCCATTATTTGACCTACCGGTATCCTGTGAGGCCTGACCTTAACCCATTATCAGACCTACGGGTATTTAATAATTGATCTGTGACAAATATTTCACCTATCTTTGACCTATCATTTAGTAACTGATCTATGACCCATTATTTGACCTATTTAGTAATTGACTTCTGACCCATTCATGCACTTAATTTATCCTGTAAGTAAATGAACTCTGACCTGCTTGCATTTTTCCTGTAGTTGTTTGATCTCCTCCTCCTTGTCCTTGACCGTGCTGGTCAGTTCCTCCTTACTTCCCTCTAAGTTGGACATAGAAGACTTCAACCTGACAAATAGTATAGAATGCATCATTTTTATCACTTTTATTATCCTTTTTAACACTTTAATAAAAAAGATACCAACTTTGTCAACACCAAGTACTTCCAGTACTAATATAGGAGAAAACAATGATTTCAAAAATAGTTTTAATAATTCTGAAGATGAGACTTTATAAATTCTCCATTGTATGATAAAATACTGTTAATAACTGAAAGTCTCGCTTTTTTCACCCTGGACTCTTTCAAAATGTCATAAATCCCTCTAATAGATATCTAATTGACCTCAAAAATTTACATAATAATTAAACAATCATGTATTTAAAACTTTAAACCCCATGTTGTATCTAATTAAATAACCTCTAGAGCAATAATGGTCAGAAAATATAATTCAGTCAAAAAGCGTTTTTATTTTTTTTCACTAGATCACGTTTTTTCTACTGGAATGAAATCAATTGAAAAGTCTGAATACCAATGATGTAATATATGATTGTCAAATGACGAAAGTATTTTTTACTGTATGGATGATAAATTTCAAATTCAATATCTACACTGAGTTCTTCCCTCAGTATTAAGTCACCTTCAGCAATGGTTATTCATCTAATCAATAGTATTGGTTATTCATCTAATCAATAGTATTGGTTATCCATCTAATCAATAGTATTGGTTATCCATCTAGAAGTACTGAAATGGCTGAACAATTTGAATCAAGTAACACTGCATGCCTTATAATCTCAAAAAGAACAATTCAATGATGCATTATGATTAATATTTTCCCATATATACACAAAATTTCCACAGCATGAAATCATAGTTGTATACAGTAACAGTTATATGCCACATCAACTCACTGGTGTATTTCCTCCAAACGAGGGGCTGCTCCGATCTGAGACTCCAAACTTTTTATTTTTGTCTCTGACCTGTGTAAAAGGAAACAAAATTGTATGATACAACCTTTTTATCAAAGCTTTAAAGCAAAAGTTAATATTTTTACCAAATTTGAATCGATATCTTTATCATTATTTCCTTATTTAGTTAAAATACTAAATTTCCATGCTCACTCTTCGAACTTTGCCTGAAGAGCCTTGTGTTCCCTCTGTAGGTTGTCCCGTTCACGCTCCGTCGCCTGCGACACGTTGTCCATGAGAGTCTGTACGGAGATCAGCTCCTCCTTCAGTACCATGACATCCTCCACACCTGGCCTGTACAAGTTGTAAGAGGGCATACACTAGAAACTTGTTTTGTTTTTTTCTAAAAAAACATATGTTTACCCTAATTGGACAATATGGATATTTGCAGCTTTTTTGTTTGTTTTAAAAGAGATGAATGTGTAAGAATAAAAAATATGGTATGTAAACACTAAATCATTAAACTTTTACCAAGAATACTAGAACAGGAAGTCAGTGACGGGTGATGAAGATATACTAATTTTCATGAAGAAAAATGTAAAAAAAAAAGCATAAATATACAAACTGATTTTTTTTTTTACTTCACTTTGCAAAAATATTACAATTTTTTTTAGTTAATTAACTTGAAGTCAGGAGGTATAACTGATATAAAATGCTGTGATGTTTTTTAAATACATGTTTATTATTACATACTCTTGTATTTATAGCAATTTATGGTTTGGAATTACTGAGTTGACTGTTGATAAAGGCCAGCTTAGTATCACAATATACACTTACAATACACACACTTCAGGGTAAAACAATATTAATTATATAACCTACCTCTGTGCCAGCTGGATCTCCAAACTCTGATTCTGGTTAGTCACGGTTTCTATTTGTTGCTGCAGAAAACAAGATCCGACAATTTCGATCAGTTCCACCCAAGATCATAAATATAACAGAAACACATTTCTGGACGTTTAAATTTACTATGTTGAATATTTTACAGAACTGTGAAGAAATTCTTTTGGATTATAAATATAGACTGTATTTGTTTTACTACAATTATGAAATAAATTATTTCAACTTATATTAATCACTCTTTGGCTCGGATGTTTGCGTTGGAGATCTGAAAATAACAGGAAACCGGAGAACCCGGAGAAAACCCATGTGGTTTTGTAGTCGAACTCCAGCCGCCTTGAATTGGTGAAAGGCGATTGTGTTAACCACTGCGCCACCCCGGGCACCCAATCTGTCCAGAATTACAAATATCACAACTAATTTCCCTCTGTCATCGTTTGTACATAAGCATCAGTTCAAGGATTGTGTAATATATATAGTAAGAAATAGAGTACATAAATCATATTATATATTTCATTTGCTCTGTCAAATTTGAAAACTTTTTTATTCTGATTTTTTTGTTCCCTACATTGTTTGGTTTAGACAGGTTTCACTATTTCTTTAATGCTCCTCAATGAGTATATATAAAGTCTCCCTTTTGAGCTTTACCTTCAGCGTTAGGATGTGGTCCTCTAAAGCTGATCTTTGACCTTCGACCTCATCAGCTTTGGCTTTCACTGATACTAAGTCACCTGCCTAAAATGGAGTAAAAACAAAACTTTTAATTTCTTTTTAAAGATAAATACATGTAAAAACAAATTTTGCTGTAGAAGAACTTGGCTTCTATTGTACACAGTGATATGAGCAAATATCAGACTTAATTTAATAGTCACAAATCTTGATATATTCAAGGTAAGAACCATCAACACATTTCCCATTAAAGAATGCAGGAAATATGCTGATGGTTCTCAAAATGGTATGTAAGCTTAACAAAATATTTCTGATGATTTGTTTTGGGTTTCATCAATTATAGTTTAGAAGTTCTAAACATTTCACAGACGATAAAACTATTCAAAAATATGTAAGATACAAAATGTAATTTGGTATGAAACATAACAGCATTAAATTCTTGGGTACATGTACACATTTTGTGCTAGTTTTACAAACAGTTCTGATAATGGATGGAATCAATCTATATATAGTCGACCCTGAGAATATGCAAAACAAATTGCAATGAAATGCACTTAAAGACAAGCCAAAAATTCCTTCAAAAGATTGTCCAAACTCATCTGTTCAGAGCAGATTAAGATTTTAACATTTACAGCTACGCTATAGTGTGAGGTGAGCCCTACCAGTTCTCCTGACTTTGACCGTAGTCGATCACGCTCTGTCGTAACATTCTCAGAATTGGCCGTCAACTCGGCAATCTTGGACTGTAGATGGTGCACCTCAGAACTCACTACAGATATAAATCATTTTGTTACATATCATTATATCATATATCAACAGCTACTATCAGATACTGGGCTAAGTCCATAGCATTATTATGTGGTGTGGAAACCCACCATCAGATACAGGGGCGACAACTAAATATGTTTCTAGTGTGTAAAAGCAGGATTTTCAAAGTCACTACCATACATCAGACAATAGCCAAAGTGATATACAAGAATTACGCGTAGTTATATGTGTCGCCTGTCCCGCTTTGTCAATATAATAAGCATTTGACATAGTACATAAGGAACGGACCTAAACGCAAAATCATAACATTGATTTTTTTTTAAAGTGCAGAAATTTCAGGTTTTTATCCGAAAAAGTGCAGAAATCCATGAAATGTTTTTAGAGTAGTAGGCTCTACTACCCATGATACATCTATGATTGAGGTTTGGTTGGTAAAGCTTTGTCAGAAACAGAGCTAAACGTAAAACCTTAACATTGTTGACGCCACCGTCGCCGTCGGAAAAGCAACGCCTATGTGTCTTTCCGACATCCGTCGTAGGCGACACAAAAACCAGGTAAATTTTCGTTTTTTTGATATTTTTACAAATCAGCATGTATTGGCTTTTCTACCATAAACTAAGTAACTACCAAAGTCTTTCTTGATCTTCACTTTGTTATATTCCTTGTACATTTCAATGTACATTATACATGCATGCATGTAAACAGATTTTTTTTTTTGTAAAGTGAGGCAGAATAAATGTTCTCACACATAGAACAATTAACACATTACTCACATAGTGTCCTACTTTCCTCTGAACCCCTCAGTTGTAACCGGCACATCTCCAGCTCAGCTCGCTCCTGTAATATACACACACATTGTCACCAACCAAACTAGAGTTATCTCCCTTGTGGTGTTTCAGTAGGTGTTGCTACATTACATGTTAATAATTTAATCCCGATTAGGAGCGACTTTCCTTGGTCAATATCGTTTCAAAATAAATATGGTTAGTTTAATTACGACTTTTTTTTATTGGGGCTTATTGCTAACAAAATAATAACCCAAAATGTACATACATTCTGTATGTGACAGTTATTTTATGCACTAAACAGATATTCTAAAAATCAATTGTTTCATTTTGTCTATTTGCAAAAAATACAATTCCTAATATCAGAATGACTGTATAAATCTAGTCACACTACTACATGTCTAAATGTAACCATGGTTACCTGGGCTGACAGAGGTATGTTTGGTGTAGTTCCCGGTTCAGCTGTTTTCTCCAATTCCTTTTTGAGCTGTTCTGTGTACCAGCGCTCTTCTTTTAAGGACGTTCTCAGGTCATCTATCTCCTGTCTCATTGCTAAAACATCTCCGTCCCTGCAAAATAGTTGGACATATTATACAACAGGGAACAAATAGGATGCTTGTGAATATACTGGTTGAAAACAGTTTAGAAGGCGCAAAAATATTCCATGGTAAATGAGCGCACTTAGACCAAAATTGTGCCATCTTTATAAGCAGGGCTAAACATGCACAGTTTCGGAGTCATATGACAAATTAATAACAATAGATAAAGAATAATGTATGTTTCTTTCACTCATGTATTAAATTTTACAACATATCCTAAAGTATATGATGATTGTGTAATTTTACATTGTTTTATGTAACAATTACTGCAAACTTGAGATCGTCAAAAATTTTGGGTTTTCCCAGGCACTTCCAGATGCCTCGATATGCACATTCTGAATTTTCCAGAGATCAGCCTTGGTTCAGAGATCAGAGCCTGTCATTTTATTTCAGGTTCAGTCTGTGAAACAGTTGAACTTGGTACACAAAAGCAGCCATATAAATTATATTTGTCAATTCAAAACTATACTAATGAACCTTGTATTATGATACAGGATTTATACAATCCATGATACAGCCCATCTATTCTTTCTAGGTCTATGATCATAATCATGTATCAGACATCACATAGGCTGAAAAAATTAAGTACCATACGGTACGCTATACAGTAATTAAAAGTTCTGGGATACCTGAACATCAATTTAGATAAGAATTTGTTTAAGGTCCTGTTAGAAATCATTTTATAGGCATTGGAGTCCTGTTAGATTTCATTTTAAAGGCACTGGAGTAGGTCACATTACCTGTTCTCTGAGAAGGCTGGCTTATCATCATCGTGGGCGGAGTCAAAGTGGGCTTGCAGTTCTTCTGGTGATGGGAGGGACTTCTTACAGATAGGACAGAGGAACCCCTCCTACAGGTAAACAAAAACTTACACATGCTAAAATTCTGCTGTTTATATCTGCATTTTCATATTTTTTTCAGTGTAGACATCTTGCAAATAAACAAGAACAAGAGGCCCAATGGGCCTGCATCGCTAACCTGGTCTAAATCTCACACTTGTAACCTTAAAAGTGATCTAAAATAAAGCTACAGGCAAAATATCAGTATTTATGACTTTATGTCATTCAAAAGAACTTGCTAAAAGAATAAGGTCATTACGTTGAACAAATGTTATAACCCTTCATCTCAGGATGCAACTTGCAAAATATCACCACCCAATTCTTTTGTTTATTAAGATTAGGTCATTTAAATGTTTATACATATTTGACCAAATGTGACCTTGAAAGTAGGTCAAGGTTATTCAAACTAAAAAGCTTGATAGCCCTTTATCCAAGCATGCTACTTGCTAAATATCACTATTCTGGGCCTCATGGTTATCAGGAGAAGTCATTTAAAGATTTTAAACAAATTTGACTCCTGTGACCTTAAATATAAGTCAAGGTCATTCACTTTAACAAAGTTAGAAGCCCTTGATCCCAGCATGATACTGACCAGATATCAACATTCTAGGCCTGATGTTTATTCAGAAGAAATTATCTAAAGATTTTAACGTATTTGACCCCTGTGACCTTGAATATGGGTGAAGGTCATTTGTTTGAACAAACTAGGTAGCCTTTCATCCCAGTTTGCTTCTGGCCAAATATCATCACCCTAGGCCTTGCAATTATTATGAAGAAGTTGTTTAAAAGTAAAATATTGACGCTGGACGCTGCACCACGGCATAAGCTCACTTGGCCCTTCGAGCCAGGTGAGCTAAAAACAATGCTATATTTAAAAAAAAAATCAAATTCATGAAGGAACAAGTTGTTGTCAACTTAAGGTAGAAAATCACTTATCATATTATTATTGCAGTACAATTGTAGTACAATACATAATAAACTGTATAAATACCCCTTGTGATTCCTCCGGTTTAGCTTGACCTTCTGCATGCTCCTTGTCAAAATGTGCTTGGAGAGCTTCTGGTGATGTCAAAGCTTTCATGCATAGTGGACATATAAAACCCTGAAGCATACCGAATGAATGATGAATATGGCACACATATAAAACCCTGAAACATGTTGAATGAATGATTATTATAACGCACATACAAAACCATGAAACATACCGAATGGATATTAAGTATATAGCTGACAATTATAAAACTCTGAAACATAATGAATGGAGTTGAACATAGCAGACAATTATACAAAAAATAAACAGGGTGGACATATATAAAACCCTGAAGAATACCAAATAATTGGCAAATATTTTGGTTATATAAAACCTTAAAAAAACTTGCAAACATCTTCAACAATATATCCAACAGATATTAAAATATAATGATGGGAAGTTAAAAATAACTCTCTCTGAAACTTCTTAAATGTACCACCACAGTAACTAGTTTTACCAGCAGCCATAACTTGTAGCTACCTGTATCATCATCTTTATTTACCTGTCTCTTTGACTTGTAACTACCTGTATCATCATCTTTATTTACCTGTCTCTTTGACTTGTAATTACCTGTATCGTCATCTGTATTTACCTGTCTCTTTGACTTGTAATTACCTGTGCTCCAGCAACTGCATCTACCTGTTTCTTGGACTTGTAATTACCTGTGTTTTTACCCTCTGTATTTACCTGTCTTTTGGACTGGTAATTACTTTTGTTTCATCCTCTGTATACCTGTCTCTTGGATTTGTAATTACCTGTGCTCCAGCATCTGCATCTGTATCTACCTGGCTGTTGTTGCCACTGCCAAAGGAGAAGAACTTGTTTGGGGAGGAGGTGGAGGAGGAGGAAGGCTGTAAGCAGACAAATGCAATGGTTTGACATGTGATTAAGGCAAGTTAATGATTTGACATGTGATTAAGGCAAGTTAATGGTTCGACGTGTGATTAAGGCAAGTTAATGGTTTGACATGTGATTAAGGCAAGTTTATGGTTTGACATGTGATTAAGGCAAGTTAATGTTTTGACATGTGATTAAGGCAAGTTAATGGTTTGACACGTGATTAAGGCAAGTTAATGGTTTGACATGTGTTTAAGGCAAGTTAATGGTTTGACATGTGATTAAGGCAAGGTAATGGTTCGACATGCGATTAAGGCAAGTTAATGGTTTGACGTGTGATTAAGGCAAGTTAATGGTTTGACATGTAATTAAGGCAAGTTAATGGTTTGACATGTGAGTAAGGCAAGTTAATGGTTTGACATGTGATTAAGGCAAGATAATGGTTCGACATGTGATTAAGGCAAGTTAATGGTTTGACATGCGATTAAGGCAAGTTAATGGTTCGACATGTGATTAAGGCAAGTTAATGGTTTGACATGTAATTAAGGCAAGTTAATGGTTTGACATGTGAGTAAGGCAAGTTAATGGTTTGACATGTGATTAAGGCAAGTTAATTGTTTGACATGTGATTAAGGCAAGTTAATGGTTCAACATGTGATTAAGGCAAGTTAATTGTTTGACATGTGATTAAGGCAAGTTAATGGTTTGACACGTGATTAAGGCAAGTTAATGGTTCGACATGTGATTAAGGCAAGTTAATTGTTTGACATGTGCTGTAATGTGCAATGGTTTGAAAATTGCGAAGACAAGTTTGAAGGCTTTATTTAAAGGCAAGTGTACTTAATAAATACATACTGTATATAGCATAGTTAAGCCTATAGCAACCAGTTATTCAGAAATTTATCAGATTTGATATGACATTGACTGATTTAAAGATTAATGCTACATCATGATCACTGTGCAAAAGAGTACTGTACAGATATAACACATTACTGTGAGAAAAGAGTTCCACTCACAGGAACTTGTAAAACATTTCTATGAAAGGTAATCAACACCAGGTATCAGGCCTTGTTATTTAATTCAGGATTTGTTTTTTAAGTACACATATATACATACCCTTAAAACACTCTGGTAATTCAGATATTATACATGAAGCTAACAAGATTTGAAGGGAGATAACTTTAAAACAAGAGGCCCAGAGGGCCTGTATCGCTCACCTGGATATGCCCAGCAAGTTTATGTATGGTTATGGGGTGGGGATCTCAACTGTTTCCAAGCTGTGACTCAGAAACTAGGTCCCTAGGGTTGTGGTCAGACCCCAGGATCAATTCTAATATCATGACTGCATTTGTCTCTTTTTGCCCAGCATTTGTATATATAGTTTTGGGGTGGGGATCTCAACCGTTTCAAAGTTATGACCCTGGGGTTATGTCTGCAAGGGTGGGGCAGACCCTTGGGTCAATTCTAATATCATGACTGCATTCGTCTCTTTATGCCCAACAATTGTATATATAGTTTGGGGGTGGGGATCTTAACCGTTTCAAAGTTATGACCAAGGGGTTAAGTCTCCAAGGGTGGGGCCAGACCCTAGAGCCATCCTGGAAGCAAATGTGCATTCCTCTCGTTATACTCAGCAGTTGTATCAATGGTAATATGGTGGGGATCTCAACCATTTCAAAGTTAAAAAAAATTGGCCCCACCCCTTAGCCCGGGGGGTCAGCCCCACCATTTGTACAAATTTGAATCCCTGCCTCCCATGAACGCTTCCGACCAAATATGATCAAAATCCATGGTATAGTTTTACGGAAGAAATCGTTTATAGCAATATAGCCAAATTGCCCCCTTTTGGCCCCGCCCTCAGCCCCCTGGGGGGTCAGCCCCACCATTTGTACAATTTTGAATCCCCACCACCTAGGGATGCTTCCATTCAAATATGGTTGATATCTATCTCTTAGTTCCAGAGAAGAAGTCGCTTAAAGCAATATA